ACTCTTAACACAGTACCAGGTGCAAGACACATGCTCTTCAAAATCTAATTTTGGAGGCCTTTTTATTTAGGCTTCTAGGTGAAAAACCTATTTCCCATACTATGAGCTCACCTTTCCTTGCTGGTCCTTCCTCAGATGGTTGAGCTGGAGCTACTTTTCCCCCACCACTAGAAGGAAAACAGGTAATCACATTCATCAGTTGTTTCAGAGAGAAAACAGCCAAGAAACTTATAATCATCTTCCAAATGCAGTAGGTAAGCTTTACAGAAAACAAAATCATACTCAATGTTATGGAACACGGGAAAGCAAGCAATGAAAGCAGTAATTTGAACACTAAATGCCATATGCTTTCTAATCATCACATCATGCAAGATTAGTATTGCTATTTTCTTTTCTTCTGGAGTCTTAACTCTGTTGCCCAAGCTGGAGTGCAATGGCACATCTTGGCTCACTGCAACCTCCACCTCCCGGGCTCAAGCCTCTGACTTATATTTGCAGATTTGTGTGGCACTAGTACTCCCATCATAGCTGATTTCAAGCTACCAAAGTGATGTCAACTGGCTATCAAAACTCCAGAAAATGGAACTAGGTCTTATGAGCCAATTCCAGCACACTAAGAGACTAAAGCCAGCATAACTTGTAAGGTGCTATACAATGCTGGCATCCTGTAGGGCATCTTCTGTCATTGCATCACAGTATTTTAGAATCTGCACAGCTAACCAACTACTGTTTCCAAGCTGACTCACCTTGTAGGGGATTGCTGCTCTGTGTCTGAGCTCTGAGATCGAGCTGGAGGGTTAGAACTTCGCTTCACCCAAGCATTCTCCTTTGGTGGAGGGGCTGGCATTACCTTTAGGGGCTGATCAGGTTTGGGAGGTTTAGAAGTTGGAGAGTGACAATCTTCCTCCTTATTGAGTGTTTCATTTTCTAGAGACTTCTCACTCTCTCTCCTTCGTGCATCTGTGAAGCCAGAGTGAAAAGATCAAATTATCAGGCTGCAGATGCTCATGCATCTACCAGGATCTCAACAGTGTAGAAAATGGTCCACATCCAAGTTTTGGCTCCCAAAGATGGATTTATCCCTAAACCAGTGGTTTACAAGTATTTCCAGAACAATGTCTTACTGATGCACAGAGAAATAGGAAAAATAATGACCACGTATACAACTTAAGGGACACCCAGCCATCTGACCTTTTTAGGAATGAGTATCCTTGACAGCCTTTCTGCATTCTCAATGTTAAAGTGTCTTGACCTGGAGAATGTACATATGTGAAGAGGACCTATGATGAAATCCCAAACTGTAGTAACCACTGCTCAACTTCAACTTAAAACTCAACACACATGGACTATGATGCAATCACATTTATGAAAAACAGCCTACTGGCTGGGTGCAGTGGCTCATGCCCGTAATCTTAGAACACTGGGAGGCTGTGGGGGTGGGGGGAATTGTTTCAGCCTAGGAGTTTCAGACCAGCCTGGACAACATGGTGAAACCCCAGCTCTACACAAAATAGAAAAATTAGCCGAGTGTGGCATGTGCCTGTAGTCCTAGCTACTAGGGATGATGAGGTGAGCTGTGATCGTATTGCTGCACTCCAGCCTGGCTGACAAGAGTGAGACCCCATGTCAAAAAACAAAACAACAACCTACATATGTGTGTTTTTTAAAAAAGGTAATACGTGTCTTCTCAAAACAAGGAGCCTCCTTTGGGAGGCTGAGGCAGGACTGCTTGAAGCCAGGAGTTTGAGACCAGCCTGGGGAGTGTAGTGAGACCCCCATCTCTAAAAAAATTTTTTTAATTTAGCCAGATATGGTTGCATGCACCCATCGTTCACAGCTACTTGGGATACTGGGGCAAGAGGATTGCTTGAGGCCAGGAGTTGAAGGCTGCAGTGAGCTATGATTGCACCACTGCACTCCAGCCTGGGTGAGAATGAGACCCTGTCTTAAAAATAAAAAACTAGGCCGGGAGCGGTGGCTCATGCCTGTAATCCCAGCACTTTGGGAGGCCAGAGCATGAGGCCAAGAGATGGAGACAATCCTGGCCAACATGGCGAAACCTCATCTTTACTAAAAATACAAAAAATTAGCTGAGCATGGTGGCGCTCACCTGTAATCCCAGCTACTCAGGAGGCTGAGACAGGAGAACTGCTTGAACCAGGGAGTGAGAAGTTGCAGTGAGCCAAAATTGTGCCACTGCACTCCAGCCTGGTGACAGAGCAAAACTCCGTCTCAATAAACAAACAAATAAATAAATAAAAGAAATGCAAGTACAAATCAATTTAGAGGTGGGAGAAAAGACCTTAAAAAACATCATAGTGGCTGGCACTTTAAGAGGCTGAGAGCAGCCTGGGCAACATGGGGAAACCATCTCTATAAAAATTTAACTGGGTATAGGCCGGGCGCGGTGACTCATGCCTGTAATCCCAGCACTTTGGGAGGCCGACGCGGGCAGATCATGAGGTCAGGAGATCGAGACCATCCTGGCTAACACGGTGAAACTCCGTCTCTACTAAAAACACAAAAAATTAGCTGTACGTAGTGGCGGGCGCCTGTAGTTCCAGCTACTTGGGAGGCTGAGGCAGGAGAATGGCATGAATCCGGGAGGCAGAGCTTGCAGTGAGCCGAGATCGTGCCACTGCACTCCACCCTGGGAGACAGAGCAAGATTCCATCTCAAAAATAAATATACAAATAAATAAATAAAATTTAGCCGGTGTAGTGGTGCATGCCTACAGTCCCAGCTACTAGGGAGGCTGAGGTGGGAGGATCACTTGAGTCCAGGAGGTGAGGCTGCAGTGAGCCATCATAATGCCACTGCACTCCAGCCTGTGTGACAGAGTAAGACCCTATCTCAAAACAAAACAAAAAAAACCACATCATGGTAAGGGAAGGAGGTATTATAATTGAACCACTGAGGTTTCTAAAACACTAAAAGTGCTTGATCAACCAGTAATAACACTGCTTGAGAACACTGCTCTGGTGATAACATCAAAAAACGTTGGTCTTGGGACAGCTCATATGAAACTCCAAGCCTTTGACTGTTCTGAATAGACAACATTCTAAGATGTCACAACATAAAATGAAAATACACCAAAAAAAAAAAAAAAAAAAAAAAAAGGACATAAAATGAAGAGACAAGCCTAACAGTCAAGTATCCGCTTCAGTGGTAGATTATTAAGCAGATCATCTAGGTCTACTCTGGTACCCATTCCTCAAATTCTTTGGAGCAGAAGACATGAAACTCCAGTCGGCCCATGCAACTCATATAAAGAGAGTTCATGACTGAATTTAAATACTGCAAAGTCTCTGCATAATTTGGTTATGGATAGTTTATGGAAAACAGCAATAACACAATACCCACCCTGGTCTGACTTACTTCTGCCAGATGTGGCGGAGGTCCCAGTCTGTGATGACTCACTTCCCGTCCTCGACCGTTCCCGTTCCTGAGTTTCTTCACTTCGCCAGCTTGGGTGTCTGTACGAGAGATTTCACAAAACACACATTATGCCTGGCTCAATGAAGGCCACCTTAGACCCATGCTGACCCCTCAAGAACCATCATTTATTAATATTCTACCACACTTGCTTCATCTATAGGTGTATGTGCATATAAATTTATCTTTCCCTCAAACTATTTGAAAGCTACAGACATTAAGACACACTTTGGCCCTAATTACTTCAGCAAGAATCAACTAATACGGTTAAGAACGCTATCCTACATAATCTACAATACTGCCCTTCTTTAACACGGTTCTACAAGCCACTCACTACCAAGCCTAGTTTTTCAGGGCAATTACTTATTATAGGAGGTCTCTAGCCTTTTAGATGCAATACCAGCTTTTTTTTTTTTTTTTTT